CCCGGCTCCCCACTCGGCCCGCCACCAGGTCCGCCGGGCTCGCTAGCTGGCCGCCCCCACCCTCTCGCCGGCGCAGGAGCGCAAAAGGGGTTCTCTGCGCCCCACCGTGCTCGGCCCCAGCCTCGCTGCCCCTCTCCGCGCGCACACAGCCCGGGCCCGACCCCATCTCTGCCCTTTCCCAAGGGAGAAGGAGGACACGTGCTGTGGACATGCTCCTCTGGGCCTCTCCCACCCTTTGGCCTTGGGGATCCCCACCCCTCATTCCACCCCAGACCCGAGGCCTTGCTGGCTGGGGCAGCGAGCTGAGGGAGCAATCACAGTAGAGATGGGGTGACTGTAGAGTGCGGGGGCAAGTGCTGGGTGCAAACAGCAGGGGCTCAGTGTTTACATGGGGTCGGGAAGAGGGGCTCTGACTCACTGGAGGGCCTAGCTGTGACCCCCCCTTCTTTGGGCCTCCATTTTTACTTCCGTAAGGAGAGTAACAAGGAGCATCTACTAGGTGCCAGATACTGTGCGAAGGGCTTTACTTGCATTAGGTCACTTCGCACCTATAAGGCCCTGCTCTACTGTTCGAATTTTGCACAGGAGGAGACTGCAGCTTGGAGAGGTTACTTGACTTACCCAAAAACCCACAGCTGAGTCAGGATTTGAACACAGGCTGATCTGATTCCCAAACCTGTGCTTGACATGACTGTCTCCCCACCTAAAGTGAACTCAGTCACCCTGGGATCCCTGAGATCCTAGAATTTGCCTGTGCCAGCTCCTTCCTACCCAGAGAACAATCTGGAGCAATCTCTTCCCAAGAGCAGGGTGAGGGAGGAGTGGCTCCAGTTCCACTCCCCCCCCCTCTTCATCCTGGCAGGCTGAATGCTGTGAGCAGTGAAGGAGCTAATAACTCGAAAGGCAGGGGCTTTGGAGCCAGGGCAAGTAGCCAGTTAATAAAAGGGCTTGGACCACCCTCCCTCATTACCTTGGGACATCCATATGCCTACCACTGTCCCTACCTCAGTTCCACACACTATTTACCCAATCCACTTCTTTCCTGATCTTGGAGCGCCAGAGAAATGCCTTCAACCTGCACCCACCGTCCTCCCCCAAATGAGGTTTCTGAACACCAGACAGCTAGGGAAACTCCCCACCCCCACTCTGTGACACTCCGCACCCTGAGTCCCTGAGAAACGAGTTAAGGAGAGAGGCATAGACCAGGGCCCTAGGGCCCCTGACAGGGAGGGGCTGCCCATCTCTCCAAATGAGCCCCTCTCCCCACTGTCTGAAATTAAAGGCCTCCTGGTCTTCCAGAGGCCCCTGGAAGGGCTAATCCTTTGCAAGGGGACACCTTGCAAAGTTACCCCACAGGACCATCTTCAAGATGTCCCCCTCCCCCTTTCAGATGAAGAAAACTGAGGTGCAGAGATGGAAAGAGCTTGGTGCAAATTGACATCGTGAGTCAAGAGCAGCAATAGAGCCCTCATCTAATGCTCATCCCAGGGGCTCCTTTCGCTGCCTCCCAAGTTCCTGGCTGGTCTCCTTGGAAGGGCTGAGCTGATGGGCTCAGGGGTTCTCGCTGAGCAGCGGAATTCAACTGGCCGCCCTCAGTACCCCAGGCCTGCTCTGCTCGGCAGGCTGACACGCCCCAGCCCCATCTGTCTCCTCAGCCACTTACCTGGT